TTGAAGCAGTGGTTTCCAAAGTGGGGGTTGGGGTACTACAGGGGGCCACGACTTCATATAGCAAAACAATTTCAGTCATAATTTAATAACAATTAGTATTTAAGTATATTTTCCACTCCATGTAAAGTTCATTTCATCTTCTGATTCTTACTGCAGAAACCACACAAGAAACAGAAGGAAAGCGTTGTTGCTAGGCTACCAGTGTGTCCTACTGTACTGTAGGTGTGGTCACAGGACGACTGTATTCCTCTTAGTTTTTTCACACTTTTTTTTTTTAAAAATTACTACGGACTGGGCCACTCTGAGTTTGTCTCTGGGCTGCATGTGGACCACAGACCACATGTTTTCAAATTATATTGCAGAACTTTTTTCTTTTTTTTTTAAAAAACCTTGTTCATAGTGGAACAGTCACTGTGACACAGACACATGATCGTCATAAAAAGGTCACGTGTCCTGGGCCGAAGAGGAAGAAGAAGCACGAGGTCGTCAGTTATCGATCGACCCTCACACATCCCAGGGTTCTTCTGCGTACACAAACACACACACTGTAGTCCAGTGAGTGTTCTAGAAACATGAAAAACCAATTGACGGGAGCTCAGGACTTCACATGGAGGTCCCTGGACCACGAAGAACCTGATGATGATGATGATGGAGAACACAGGAGTCCAGGAGCGCGCGTTCTGCCGTGTCCACGTCCAGAGACGGTTGACTCGACTCCAGTCACAGGACTGTGTGTTTTGTCATCTCTTTGTATAAAGTGACGCCGCTGCGCTGACGTGTTTCTGTGCTGTTGTCTCCTCTACACTGCACTTTACATGACAGGGTGTAATTACGCTGTCTCTTTGTCTGTGTTCACAAATCTGGACGGAAACACTGTGTCACGTCACGCCTGACGGGGACGAGCTGGGAGTGTAGAAGAGACACTGAGGGAGAAAAGTGAGAGGGCTGCGAACAAGAGGCTTAATGGAGATAAAAAAAACAGAGAAAACACTCAGAAAATGTTCCAAGAATTGAGTTTAAAATTAGAAGTGAATGTAGAAAGGCTTGAATGTAATCTTTAGAAATCTTTCTTTTCTTTTGTTGCAGCACAGATCACCTCAACTTAAAACTGAACAAAATGTTTTCCATTGTGATTGGACCATAATTAATTAATTAATTTTTTAGAAGGAATTTCAGTAAAAAATTATTAATTTTTCTCCTCAATGTTCACTCTAAAAACAAAGGACTTGACGCTGAGGTCTCCCTTAGGTAGAGCTGGATCCAGCCACAAGAGGGAGCCCTTCAATGCCCGATGCGCCTGAATGCGTTTAAACAGCATTTGTAACTCCCCCCCACACACACCCCTCTCCTTATTAGGGAGACATTGACATCTATTTACAATCAGCATCAGATGAATTTGATTTGTCGAACACAGCATCTATCCAAATAACAGCACCAGGAGAGAGAGAGAGAGAGAGGGAGAGAGAGAGGGAGGGAGGTGGGGGGGGGGAGGTTAATTTATCGGACCAAATATTCCCATCATTAAGAGATTTAATGAGTTGAGACTTAATTAAAAGTGGATATAGCCTCCAAAAAGAGTCACATCACTAACCACGCGTTCATTACTGGTCTCTTTAACATCATTTCCCACAGAATCACCAACATCTGAGGAGGAAGAGGAGGAGGAACCGGGGCTGAGCAAAATCTCAATTTGAAAATGCCACAAATTACGTGAAGATCAGCATCTTCATGCTGCAGCTCTGCTCCTGTTGGAGAAACATATTCTGGTACTAGTAAGAAAGAAAATGAAGAAAATAAAAAATAAATAAATAAAATGTAAAGAGTTCTGGGGGAGGGTCAGGATCAGCTCAGCTGTGCTTTTCATTTCGTCATTTTTGTCTCAACATGTAAATTAAGTATTTAATGAATGACACATATTTGCAATACATTTATACATTTATATTTATTTGCAAATATATAAACTTAGTAAATTGGTTTGAACAAGAAAAAAATAGTTTTATTTGTCACTTAAATAGTTGTTTCTTTTGAAGGCTAGGCTAGGCTAGGCTAGGCTAACTTTGCTAATAACCATGGGTTTTTTTTTTTCACTCTAGGGCTTGACTGCCACCTAGTGGGTCTATTGTCCTCTTGTAAATACTTTTACACGGATTCCGTGCGAAATAGGTGATAAAACGACGGGTGGTGTCCCCGCTGATGAACACACGATAAATATTGTATTTTTATACCGTAACACGGCAAATATTGATACTAATACGCAGTAAACACAACAACAACAACAACAATGATAATAATCTGATTATTATGAAGTGTTGGAGACAGTTACTACACCATTGGCTGCTGTGGTCGCCCTGGGGTACTCCCAGCCTTCTGCTGCTGATGCTGCTGCTGATGCTGCTGATGCTGCACGGTGGCGCAGCCCACATCCATCTGAGGATGGAAACGTAAGGACGGCGGGTCTCTCAGAGACCCCGAGTCAGGGTGGACAGAACCAGAGGAGACACACTTCTAGAACCGAACACACTCGGACACTGTGCGCACCAGCAAGTCGGGTCTGAACTGGATTGTGTTTCCACACGTCTTATCTCCTCTGGATTGTGTTTCCACACGTCTTATCTTCCCTAACTTACCTGACCAGAGGATTTTTAATTTTTATTTTTTTTATATAAACGGGAGCGCACAGGTGGTGGTGGCGGCGGCGCGAGCCTGGATTTGGATCCTAAAGTTTGAGGGATGCTCTGGATTATTTATAAGGAGAAGGGAGACGGCAGTTGTGGGGTGGACGCGCACACGCCCGGTGTATCGCACATCAGTTAAATGTGGATGGATGCGCTGCCTCCACTGCTCTGGCAGCAGAAGCTCCTCCGTGCCCAGCCTGAAGAGCTGCCGTGGAGGCTGACCGCCGAGCCGGCTGCTCCCTCCTCCTCCTCCTCCTCCACCTCCTCCACCTCCTTCTTCGTGCCCTCCTGCCGGCTGGATTCTCGGGGAAACTTTGTGACGGGTCGGTGTCGGAGGATGTAGGCAGGCACCGTGTTTGGCTTCCCCGAGCTGAGTGAGTGTCTGAACCGGGATTTGATGAGTTGGTGAAGGTGGCCAAACTGGAGGATGCGCGTCCGGACTGTGGATTCCTGCACAGGCTGCGTGGAGGGGAGAGCAGAGGACCCCCCGGTCCGGTCCTGGGACGACAGGTGTTCCGTATGAACAGGTGAGTTCTAAAGACCCCGTGGTTTTTAACACCTTTCGTCTTCACGTCATCCTGAACTACAGGGGATCAATACTTCAAGGACATTGACAGATTGGCTCCAGGAGTTTTGTATTTTTGCCCAGATATTTTCCCCCACATTTAAAAACATTCATTCATAATTTTTCAATTGTCTCTTCTTGTTTTTTTGTTTAATTTTGCACAGAAAGTGCAACAAAATGTAATTATTTCTGCTCAGGAACTCCGTGTTTTTCTTCCTCATCCAAGTTTTATTCATGGAAAAATCCTTCATGATGTCAATCCATAAACTTTTGTCTTTTTTTTAAACATTAAAAAATTTTTCCCTGCAGTAAAAAAAAAAGAAGTGTGATCCTGAAATAAAAAAAATAAATTCATTTATGGTGAGGCTCTGGCTTAAAGACTACATGTTCTCGTACACAAGCTGAAATTATTTACATTTCCACTTGGACAAAGCAGCTGGACGACCGTTAGGGTGTGGACGTTAGTGCTGCGACCGGACGGACGCTCCTCCGTCTGGAAACACTCACACTCCACCTCCTCATCTCCAAAGTCATTTAGCTGTTGAGACAGAACCGAACTGAAGTCGTTTTTCTTTCCATATCATTCTGACTTTATCTTAACTTTTCTTCTTCTTTTAGTGGCTCCATTCGTAAAGATGCTGAGCTGCGGATAGAGAGACTGCCCTGTGGGGCGAGCTGACCTTTCTCTACCTCTCTCCCCCGACTTCCCCGTCCTCCATTTCCCTCTCTCTCTCTTCACTGACCGTTTTTTATTTCTCTTCTTTTGTCATTTTTTCTCTCTCACTTCCATCTCCTCCTTTTGTTGTTGTTGTTGTCACTTCCTGCCATCTTCCCATCATCCCTCTTTGCCCTCTGCCCCCGTACCCACCAACTCCTCCTCCTCCTCCCCCCACAGCACACATGCAGGCCAAGAAGCGGTACCTGCTCGTGTCTGTGGGGGCCGGTCTTCTCTTCCTCGTCTATCTGTGGGCTCTGCAAATCGAGGAGTTCCAGCAGCAGCAGGATCAGTATCAGTATCACCAGTATCAGTTACCCCAGGACCCAGAGTTCCACCAGTACCACCTGTACCATCAGCAGGAGTACCAGTACTCCCACCAGTTTCAGGACTCGTACCAGCCTCAACCCCAGCCCCAGAGGAGTCCGTCCAGGCGCTGGACGCCATCGACCGAGCTGCTAGAACCGTACCTGGAGGGGGGAGAACAGGAGGTACTGACTGAGCCGGTCCACACCGCCTCAGGGACTAAATGTAGCAGATAATTCTGAATTCATTTGTTAAATGTTGTCTTTTGGCCTCTGTAGGTATTTGATCAGGACAAATACTCAGTAGTACACAGAGAGCGTTAGTAGTTAGACTGAACCGTGTGACGTGGATGTTAAGTCTCTGTGTTTGGATTTGTGTCTGGACAGGAGGACAGCCCTCAGCTCCATCACCAGCACACCTCACCCCGAGAACGCCGGGCGATCCGCGACAACATCTACAAGAACAAACGCTGCCGCATGGAAACCTGCTTCGACTTCGCCCGCTGCCAGTCGGGCTTCAGGGTTTACATTTACCCCCCCCACAGAGCCGGGGGTGAGGTCTCCGAGACCTACCAGAAGATCCTGTCCTCCATCGAAGAGTCTCGGTTTCACACCACTGACCCCGCGAAGGCCTGTCTCTTTGTCCTGGCAGTGGACACGTTGGACAGGGACCAGCTCTCCGCTCAGTATGTCCAAAACGTCAGGTCCAGAATCCAGAGCCTGCCCACGTGGAACGACGGCAGGAACCACCTGGTCTTCAACCTCTACTCTGGCACCTGGCCGGACTACACCGAGGATCTGGGTTTCGAGGTGGGACAGGCCATGTTGGCCAAGGCCAGCGCCGACGCGGTCAACTTTAGACCAAACTTTGATATTTCCATCCCCCTGTTTTCCAAGGATCATCCCCTGAAGGGAGGGGCCACGGGTTATTTGACCCTTAACGACGCCCCACCTTCCAGGAAGTACCTGCTGGTTTTCAAGGGCAAACGCTACCTGACAGGCATCGGTTCCGAGACCCGGAACGCTCTATACCACATCCACAACGGGAAGGATATAGTCCTGCTGACCACCTGCAAACACGGCAAAGACTGGGAGAAACACAAGGACTCTCGCTGCGACCGGGACAACCAGGAATACTCACAGTAAGAGCTGCTGGTTTCACTGCTTCTGGTTTCACTAACCATATATTTTTAAGCCATAAACGCTGGTGTTAATTTGTCAGAGGGCAGGAAATGGCTGCAGTTTGTGTGCGGTTGTCTCTGCTGGCTGCTGTTTCAGTGCATGGACTCATCAATATCTATCTATGTCTTGAGAGCTGAACCTCATGGTTGTGGTTCAGATCAGTGTGTGTTCATATTCTACCTGTGTTTGTGTGTTTTCCCATGATACCATGCGAGAGAAAGACCAGCTGTTGTAATCTGGGCTGGAAAAAAAGAAAGAACTTTTTTTTAGATAAGTGCTAGAAACGTGGGAACTACAGTAGGTGGAGATAAGAAAATGACGTTTTGACTGTTTTTTCCCCCAGTGGTTTTCAGCAGAGCAGCTGTTGAATATTTTTGGTTTGGAAAACGCAGAGACACCCGATGACGATGGGTTTACGCCTGAGATTTCACACTTGGCATCTGTGCACGCGCTGGCGTCTGCTGGTATTTAAACAGTCTGTGGAAAAACGCTGACTCTGCCTTTAAAGTTTGTCGTAGTATTGTGTTCAGGACTCTTTGTTAGAGCAAAGGAAAAAAACTGAGTGACGACAGAAGTGGGCCAGATGTGGGCCGAATCTCTTGGACTACGCCCAGGAAAATCTCTTTCTGTATCATAGGTCTGATTTCTATTGGCTGAAAGTAGCTACACAGAACGTCACACACTGGAACGACATCCGGCCCAATGGTGACAATGTGGACCAAAAACGAGTATGTGTATGTGTGGCCCACATGGTCTTCTTGGCCAGCGATGGTTAAGGTTTGGCTGAGATGATGGGCCCAACAATTTGGTCCACCATCTTTAACCGGGACTTGTGATCTTACCTTACAACATACAGTTTCTATGTGGGTCACAAGAGTGTGTGAGTGTGGGTCACATCTTTCTATGTGGACCATAAAACGGTGGTTTCTGACGGCACTTTCGGTTGACTTTAAATGGACGCAGTTCCTTCAGTCTCCACTAGCTGGAAAACCATGATGAAGTTCTCCCTGGTCTCTGTTAGTTTCTGGAGGTACCAGCTCTTGACCTGGTCCAGGTGGTGTGGTCTGCTCTTCAGAACTTGCGGCCTAATTGAACCGAGTTCTCCAGACCGTCCTGAGGTCGGACCAGAGTTCCGCACCAGTGTTCACGTTGACCAAACCGCTGTGCACCTGGTTTGTTTCAGCTGTGTTGGTGTTCACGTTGACCAAACCGCTGTGCACCAGGTTTGTTGGGACCATGTGAGACCATGTGCTTCTTGTTCTAAGAGTGGACCCTTCACGGTCCATGTGGTCTGAATGTAAATGTCCTCAAAGAGGCAGTAAAGCACACACACACGTGGACTTCTCGGTCCACAACAAGGACCCGTCAGAGTCGGTGACAGAAGGAGACGGGGTGTGTCATCAGTCTGTGACCTTCTCCCATCCTCTGACACCCCCATTTGCCTTGAGTCATGTTCTCAGCTAATGCGTGCGGAGGCACGTTTTTCTCTCTATTTTCCTCCCAAGTGTGGAAAGTGACTTTAACTGGCAGCCTGACGACAAACAAAGCAGAACATAACGGCAGGAACGGCAACCAGAGTGTTTGTCTCTGACGGCAAACTGCCGTGGAAATGTGTTCATTCATAAACGTGTCAGTGGCTTTATGAGCGGCTTAGCGCAGCTTTGATGGGGGAGAAAAACAAATGGTTTTGGATCCAGTTAGCTAACATCATTCATGCACAATGGGCTGTTCTGCAAAGCTGTAAAGAAAAGTGGGGGGAAAAACACAGAGACTAAAAGTGTTTCAGCAGCTTCTCCTTTAAATAAACAGTGCATTAGTCCGTCGTCCGACTCTGTCGGGCATTTTCTGACATCCAACACCAAAAATCAAAGAGTGAAAAACTCAGCTTTGGCCTTAGTTTCACAGAGTGTGTCAAAAATACCAGCAGCCAAACACTCCTGTCTGGACTTGTCACTTGCTGTTTTTAATGTGTTTTTCATAGACACAAATAAATGCCATGGGTCTGTAGACCTCCCTTCTCCTCCTGTGATAATGACGGTCTCTGACCACCTGAGGGAGCCGGCTAGTTTACATTATTTTGGAAAGGATTTGTTCCGAAAAAAAAAAAGTTACCACCTGAGGGAGCCGGCTAGTTTACATCATTTTGGAAAGGATTTGTTTCTGAAAAAAATAGTCCAAAAATGTTCCAAACTCTTTGCAGACATGAACGTTTTTATGGTAGTTCTTATATTACAATAAAGAATAAGAAATTACCAATACCAAATATTTGATAAAAAAAAGTATCAGTATCAGTATCCAACACTTTGCAGCAATAAACAGATATTTGTCCATCCACCTCTGACACCAGTGCAGCTGCATTGACGTCTGTAGGAATTTCTGAAAAACTCCCCAGTTGGGATTCCTTCCATTTCATTTGGGCCGCTCTGTGGTTGTCAGTGGGCTGCATGTGGCCCACGACCTGCTAGTTGGATAGGCTAATTGTCCAAAGCAAGTCTTTTCATACATTTTGACACCGACTGGCGTCTCAGCGGACGGACGATCAGGTTCAGGTCCAAGACGGATAAAAGCCAACCCTTGTATCTGAGACAATCTGTAGTCAGATCTGAGCGGACCGCTGTGTTGTGTTTGTACGTCGATGCAAACATCATTCAGTGCAGTGAAGAGGGAGTCGGGGGAGGCTGAGGGTGAGGGGGGGGGACGACTCCCTGATGAGAACAGAGACCAACAAGGATGTTGAAGCCTGAGGGTGATTGGATAATTGCTCTCCAATTGAATTAAGCTGTGAATGAAGAGGTTACGGAGAGTGATCCTGCCCCCTGCTGACTGGAGCTGTGATTGAACTGTGCTACTGTACACAGATAACAGCTGGCCAAACCAATTAGAGCGCCCCCCCCGCAGAACGTTTGATATCGCAGGCAGACGTCTGCGGAGAGGCACATAAAACACTCCTCACATCCTTCACCTGGTTCTGTTTTTTTATTGTCTGGGAGAGTGAGGGGGGGGGGGGGGGGGGGAGACGACAGATGTGTGAGGAAAAGGGAGATTGTGCTGAGAGATGTTAACCAGACTGTACAGCAAATCCATACACTCTTCACTTCCTCTTTCTTCTTCACTCACTGACGTCTTATCTCCGTCTGTCTCTACAGGACCTTGAAGTTTTTCCTCTTTTGTCCTGTTTCCCTTCGTTTTTTTCTTTCCCACAGTCGATTTTCACATAAAAGGAAAAATAACTCAACAGCGCCCCCCCACTCTAAAATAGGGCACTAAAGGTGTTTCTTTCTATTCCTATAAAATGCAGTTGGTATAAAAACATGAGCTAAATAAATGAAACCAGTTTCTTCATAATTCTTATCACAATCAGCCAGAATTTCAAACCTTTTTAAAACTTCTTAGCGCCAGAATTTCAAACCTTTTTAAAACTTCTTAGTGCCAGCATTCGTCCATCCATCTATTCATCCATCTATTCATCCATCTATTCATCCATCTATTCATCCATCTATTCATCCACCTTCAGAGTCAACACTTCAGAAAAGAGCAAGAGAAACTGTGTTGATAACAACGTCCATCGTCACCCTGGAAACAGGTTCGTCCACGGTCCAAGATCAATACCATGAGAGTTCTCTGGACCTGTTCCTTTATCCAGACCTGGACCTGGACCTGAAACCCACACCCACACCATCCATGTTGATCACAGCCGTCGTATCACTTCACTCCACGTGAACGTTTTAAAACCCGTCCTCAATCGACCGTCACGGCGATGATTCTCGTCTCGATAACGAGGCAGAATTTGACCTTGTCTTCACTCTGGCTGACCTTGTAATTACTGCTCAGGGAAACTGTGGACCGGGAGGTCAAGTTGTACACGTTGAGGTCACTTTGGCAACAGGAAGGCGCTGAGTCTTTAACTGATTTTCTAAAATTCATCCATTTGCGTCACTCGTTCATTGCGTTTCCCCTGAATTTGTCCCTCCGTCCTTCTGTCTCACGGCCGTCGACTTCGTTCCAGTGGAACTTCGGAGACTTCTTGTCCTCAACCTTCAATCCATTTGTGTTAAAGTTGTTGCCTCTCCACCGGGGGCAGAAGGGCCATAAAAAATATTTAGGAGTGGACCCTAAATAAAATGGTTGGTCTGACAGCTGGAATAATGGAATCACAAAATAAATATATATACTGTACACACACACACACACACACAGGCAGCGGCTCCTGCTCTGTGTTGTTGCTCTGTGTCATTTTTATATACAGTGATGCTCCAGGTCTGAAATGAGACTATAATACAATCCCTGTTTTTCTGGAGCGTTGGCTCGTGTCAGAGCTGGAAATGGGACAGCTGTGGATTCCAACAAACCCAGGCTGCCCATGAGTGTGTGTGTGTCTGTGTGTGTGTGTGTGTGTATGGATAGGTGTGTTCCGTAGAGAGCAGTTGAGGTTTTTGAAGTCTGGTTGTATGAGCTTCAGGTTTTCAGACTCCTCTCATTGGTGGAGCCGTACACTTCCAATAGATATTAAAAATGAAAAAATAAAACAAACACAATATGTCATAAAAAATACAATATCAAAGGTTGTTAAAATCAGTGAAGTAGGACTATAATGTTTTATTCCAACAAAAGTTCTTCCTTCAGGTTATAACAGCAGCTGGAGCGGCTGAGCCGCGTTGCTGCCCCCTACTGCTCCGGGTATATTTTACACTG